TGTATTGCCTATTTGGTGCACATTTAATTTGAAATCGGATAAAGATATATGGGAGCTATATTCAAATCTGAACCGATCTCAATAAAATTTGGCAAAGATACATCTGAGCGGCATTTGATATATTTCCCTGAATGTCGTTGTTACGGAGTGCATATTATGGCTGTGGGTAACAAATATAACAAATCGGATGTATATTAGACGTTTGATGCACAATAAAAAGTAAATCGGACGAAGTTATATATGGGATCTATATCGAAATCTGAACCGATCTCGATAAAGTTTAGCAAAGGTATTTCTGAGCTGTGTTTGATATATTTCCCAAAATATTGTTGTTACAGAGTGCATATTACGGCTGCAGAGGACAAAAATAACAAATCGGATGAAAATATATATGGGAGCTATATCTGAACCGATTTCGAACAAATTCGGTATACTTATTTACGGGCCTAAATTGTTGTATGTGCAAAATTCCATACTATCCTGCTGATATTACACGTTTGGTGAATAATAAAAGGCAAATCGGACGAAGATATATATGGGAGCTATATCAAAATTTTTACCGATTATCTCCGTCCTTGGGTCAAACAAATGATTTGTCATCTGGATAGGGCAATAAATGTGAACTGTTCTTTGTTTACAAAAATATATGGACAGACGGACGGACATGCATAAATCGACTTAGAATGTGATTCTATGCAGATCATCAAAGGAATGCACAAAGATATAATACCCTGACACCCTTGTGGTGTAGGTTATTAAAATTTATGTAATATAAAACATTACGATTGTACATTTCAAACGTCAAAATGAAAACTTATGAAAACTTATATTTCCTTGTACATGATATATTAAATTTTGTATCTATTTAAATACCTACTTTATTCCACTATTATCTCGCAAAGTTTTCAAGTGCTTACCCTTTTGATTTGTAACTATTCTCTAAAATCTCTCTTCGCTTCAACGATAATTGAGCAGCAATTTGAAGTGCTGTTCTTTTTATAAATCGTTTTTTTTTTCTTAAAAAACGCCCGCATTAACATTAGTCAACCACAATATTGAACATATTCCATCTAATTGCCTGAAAAGGACATACTTAGATTGCTTCATTTCAAAAAAGAGAACACAAAAACCAAAAAGTTTGATTATCCACAAGATAAAGTTTTACTTGTCTCAAAGTTATTCGAAAATCATTGAATGGTCAGGCGGTCGGAGAACATGAGCTGCGTGTGTCTGTGTCTGTTTCGGTTTCTTTAAATGTGACACATTGTATCGTCTTGTTATGGAAAAGTTTCACAATATCATCATTTCAGTAGTGAAGCTGAAGAAGAGAAAGAAAAAAAAACAAAAACAAACTAAACAGCTTGCAGAAGGTCATTCAAATAAACCCACTCATTCTAAATGGAGGAAAATGTCGTTCTCCGTTTTTTCTTCATTTTCTTCTGCAATGCAAAAACTATAAAAAAGAAAATGTTAGCGAAAATTTATGATGAATTGGGCAAAATAGGCTTAGAAAATGTCATAGTAAATTAGAAATAGTGAGTTGAAACGTAGCGTGTCATTGTAATTTCTTTGGCCACGTACAGGGTTGCCCATATTCGACGGACCTTTGGGCCCATTTCAAGCGACGAGGCTTGTCCACAGGCGACATTCTTTGCATCAATTGAATTTTGTACGGGAACAAATGCAAATCAATGCGAATAATCCGTTGTAAAGTGGACCGAGCCATGCCCAACTGCTGAGAATAACGTTTTTGGGATGTTCTTGGGGACCTCTCAAAACTGGCTCGTACGGCAGCGATATTCTCGGCCGATCGCCTTGGTCGACTTTTATATGGCCTCTTCGGATTAGAAAGAGCCTTACCAGTCGAAAATTTTTCTTATAAACGGTTAATGGTGTTCTTAGAAGGCGCACTTCTCACATTTTTTAATGTTTTAAAAGCACGTTGAGTTTTCACAATTGACTTCTTGTAAATTTCAACTATTTCAGAGCGCTCGCGTGGCGTGTATTGGTTCATGGTAAAAATCTGCTTGGACTGACGCTTCAAACGCGGTATGTCATTAAGCAATGTGACATCTCTGTCAAAAGTTATGGCGTAGCCAGATGGGTCCGTCGAATATGGGCAACCCTGTATTTCTTTTGGCTGATTTGGCTGGAAAACAACAAGTGGCTATCCTTAGAGCACTCTAGCATTTAAATGTGAATAAATCTTTTGTGTCTGGTACTATCGCTCGTTACCGAGATACTGGTAGCGTAGCCCGACGGACGGAAGAAAGTGGACGGAAGAAAACAGCAACTTGATCGAAACCCGACTCGCAGTGGCCGAAAATGGCTCGTGAGCTGAACATATCGCAATATTACATTTGACAAATATTGAAAAATGAGCTCGTGGTAGAGCCATTGAAATTCCAAAGAGTGCAAAAACTTACACCCCAGCAGAAAGAAAATAGACTCAAAAGAGCTAAAGAGTTGCCTCGCTTGGCCGAAAGTAGTGAAATGCCGAATTTTGTTTTCTCCGATGAGAAAACAAACCAAAATATCCGGATACCAATACGCTGAACTATAGTGTCTGGAGTATTTTGGAAAGCAAGGTTAGCACTAAACAAGTAAGCAAAGGCTACAGTCGAGCGGGGCCAACCGTTGAATACCCTACAACACTATAATAAACGATACAGTTTATATAGGCGAGATACTCGAAACAATTCCACAAGATATTGTGACAAATAATAAAAGAAAACCGTCAGGTTTCGTTCTCTAATTTTCGAATAATAGCAAATTAAACTAATTTGCTCATTTCCAATTTATTGGAAGATGTTGCACGTAAATGGTCCTCCTAGATCTGGAACCAATATTTCCCAAAGACATATATTTCCCAAATATATAATCTCTCAGAAGTGGCAAAAGATTAACATTTAGTATTGGTTTTTGACTGAAACGCATCTATATGAGATACAGACATTTGACTATATTCTTCAACGAAATCAGCGTTAACGAAATAGTCAGAAGTGCGTCTTTCCTGTATTTGTGAATTCTCCAAAAAGTCACTGGAATGGACATTTTCGTATTTTGTCTACAAAAGTTGGCAAACTATTTCACACATTGAATATTTTTGGATGGCCATCCAAAACTGCTTGGCTTTTGCAATATCCGGTAACCCCCATTCAAATGTGCCTGAGGAACGGGCGATAATTACGACCTGCTGACAATTTTGCAGTTTTTTGGTCAATTTCAACCCTAAATATATGACGATCATCTCCAAAAAGAGTAGGCTTCTATTCTGACCCTCATCTTATCCCCATGAAAAATTTCGTAAGGATCGGGTCATAAATGCGATCTGTATATGATATCCTGATATCCTAACTACTTAGTTTTGTTAGCTGTAGAAATGTTTAATTCAAAATGAAAATATGCCAAAAATATGACAAAATTGAAAAAATATGAGAAAATTTTACAAAATCAATATTTTCATCTTTAGAGAGATAATTTTATGCGATTTTTTAGACGTTTTTTCTTTCCTGCCAAGAGGCCATTCTGAATTAATGAGAACTGTCGAAATCAGTTCAGCCGTTCTCGACATATAAGAGATTTTTCAAGCATATCTTCTTTGATAAACATATATATCGCACATATTTTGCTATATATCCGTTTTGTTGGATGTTAAAATCAATGTAAAGATCAGAAGTACCCTTGCCATGGATTTGTGATTTCGCCGGGATTTAAAATATTCGCGATTTAATAAAAAATTTTGAATTTTTTCAACACAAAAGATATGGTATTTTTTACCCGCTAAATATTATCCGATGACCACCCAAATTGGTAGGCTTCTTCCCCGCCCTAAACTCTAGCTACATGCGAAATTCCGCGTCGATTGGTCTATAATTGCGACCTGTATAGCTACTGCAAAATCCGATATTTTTTCCATTTCAACCCCTAAACATTTGGCGATCATCTCCAAAAGAAATAGGCTTCTATTCTGACCCTAACCCCACCTTCGTGCAAAATTTCGTAAGGATCGGGCCATAATTGCGATGGACAGACGGACGGACGGACATACATAGCTAGATCGACTAAGCTGGGCGAGCTAGGAAGATCCATATATGCGTTCCTATATGGGAAACCAATATTTCGAGGTGTTACATAATTTTTGGGCCAATCAAACTTATAATACCCCCAACACATAGTGTTGTAGGGTATAAAAAATACCAAAAAAAAAAAATACCAAAGTGTCTGTCACCTCAAGCAAGCGCTTCGTCGGGAATGGGCCAAAATACTACAGAGCAACATTCGAGTAGCGTGTGACGGTTTTATTGGCCGTTTGAAGGCCATAGATTGTGCCAAAGGTGACCAATTCTAACAAATCCAAACTTTTTCTAAAATTTGATGCTAGTTCTGAAATTTTTTGCTTTCATTCAATAAAATTAAAATGAACCGATTTCAATATAATTTGTCAAATGTATGTTCGTTTTAAATTCCGTTACACATTCCAAATGTCATTTAATTTACGTCGTGTTTAATGCCTCTAGTAGTAATTTATATAGCCTATGTTGCTTTCAGGCGATGTTGTAGTATACTTGGAAATCTTCAGAAAATCGGTTCAACGGTTTTCGAGTGCATTAATTACAAACAAACATTTTCCTCTTTTATAGATATAGATATTCAATTCTATACCGTTTTCTGAACACTGTTTAGGCACACAAACACTAACATAACCTAGGGCCATAATAGTTACAGCACTACCACCTTAACCACTGCCTACAACTATTTAACAACTTGGGGAACAACCTGCAAGCGTTTTGTGCATCCACGTTTCTTTTTTGTATTTCATCTTTTTTACAGGCTGGCCTTCTATTTCATTTTGCATGTTATTTATGAAATAAGCCTTAGAAGTCTTGAAAATCATTATACACAACCCTATCAAAGGATATCAAGAATAATGGCGGAGGAGCAGCAACATTGTGCCATAAAACAAGCCAAGCAAACAAACAAACATTAGAGTTACGTACCTTTTTTTTATTAATTTACATTGCGGTGGTTGTTGTCTGGTCTCCTCGGCAGATACTCTGCACTTGACTTGCTCCAATGACTGGATCTTTGTGGCCCGCTGGCTGAGGATGATGATGTGATATTGCACTCGTGAACGCCTCCTTCTCCTTTCGGCCTCGTTCGTTGTTCGTTCACATGTATTTATATAACGCAACGCAATATGCAAGTCGAATAAAAGATACATTAGGGACTGTTTGTTTCATTTATTCTTTTTGCCTTAGCTTAGCTTGCTTTGAGTGTTTATGTAGAAGTTTTTTTTTGTTTGCTTGTTTGTTTATGTTTGTGTTTTGGTTTGGGGTTTTTTTTATATATTCACCAGAACGACGACAACAACGACAAAATCTTTGTCATTATCCACGAGAATGTAAGTCGCTTGTGCTCTGTGCTCGTCGTTAAAATAAAAACATTTTTAATTAATATTTTACTAAGTGAATGCCACAACATATGTCATGCCGCGGTAAGTGTGGCAAGTACCGTTGCATACTTTGCTTGTTTTTTTTTTATTTTTTGTTATAAACTTTGATCTGAAAATATGTATACGTAGCCGCTCATCGTGGTGACAAGTGACTGAGTGTTTACCACCTGCGGATGTTACAAGATGTCACAGTTTTTTAATTAGTTTTTGCTGGGGCGTTCATATGAAACACATACTTTAGTGCGTTTTTACTCGTTGTTGTCGTTTTTTTTTCATTCCAATTACGGTTGATTTTCACAGAAGAATGCCTTGGTAACTAGCAACATGTATATAACGAACATATGTTGGTTGTTGGCTAAATATCATATACTGCAGTACATTTTGTTATTTTTTTTTTTAAAAATATTCAAGTTGGAAAATTTCTTTGGTGTCCCGTAGATATATACCCTTAGTACTTGCCCACATATTTCTGTTTACCATTTTTGGGGGACATACCAAAAAGACCAAAAGAACTTCAACATACATTTTTAAATTAAAATGTGACCCTCTGTGGATACGTACCAGAAAGAGTACACCACATTATTGTCGGCATCTAATGCTGCCTATTTGTCATATGCGAAGTTTGAAGAAGATAGGAAACTGATTTTTATACCCTACAACACTATGTGTTGGGGGTATTATAAGTTTGATTGGGCCAAAAATTATGTAACACCTCCAAATATTGGTTTCCCACATTGGAAAGTATATATGGATCTTCCTATCTCGCCGAGCTGAGTCGATCTAGCTATGTACGTCCGTCAGTCTGTCCATGTTAATTTGTAATCACTCTACAGGTCGCAATTATGGCCCGATCTTCACGAAATTTAGAATGGAGGTGGGGTCAGAATAGAACAATATTTCTTTTGGAGATGATCGCATAATATTTAGGGGTTGAAATGGACGAAAACCTGAAAAAATCCTGATTTTGCAGTTGCTCTACAGGTCGCAATTATAGACCAATCAAAGCGGAAGTTAGCATGGAGCTAGAGCTTAGGGTTGGGCAGAAGCCTTCCAATTTTGATGGTCATCGGGTAATATTTAGTGGGTGAAATAGGCCACAACATTTGTGTTAAATAAAAGTCAAATTTTCCATCAAACCGCGAACATTTTTAATCCCGGCGAAATCACAAATAGACGAACAGGTCAATTCTGACCGTTACGTAGAATCCGATAGTAAATATATCGGTTTTATAAAGCGAAATATATACAATGTGTATATACAAAGGAAGGGGGTGTTAGTTAGAATGCTTATATCTCAAGAATGGCTGGTCCGATTTTGACAAATTGTGTCAATTCATAAAAGTTTTGACATAAAAGTATAAAATCTAAAACAAACACAGAAAAATATGCCAATAAAGATGTTAATATAGATTTTGCAGTATTTTGTGACATATTTTTATTTTTTCATATTTTTTATCGCATGCGATTTTGTCAATTTGACTTATAATATTTTGTAATATTTTTTCACCTTACAACACAGGTTGGGGATATTATATAAGTATTGCAAATATCGTCCGATCCTCACGAAAATTTTCACAAGGGTGGGGTTGGGCTCAGAAGGGCTGGGCATATTGTTTTCAAAGATGTCCGCAATATATTAGGGGGTTGAAATGGACCAACAACTAAAATTTGTCCTGATTTTGCAGCCGTTATAAAGGTCACAAATAAAAACCAAAGGACACGAAATCTCGCATAAAGTTAAAGTTAGGACAGCGGGTACAATGGACCTCTAATTTTGTGTGAAAAATACTAGCATTACTGACAGGCGATATCCGAATTACGCAAACGGCGAATTTCTGGCTTTTTTATGCTGATTTCGTTGACGAATATAGCCAAATATCGTAGACAAACAAATCATATAGATGAGTCTAAATTTGGAGATACAGAGGGGCTTCTTGCTTTTGGAGATGATTGCAAAGTATTTAGGGGTTAAAATTAACCAAAAAGAGAAATGTCTTTCCGATGACCATTGGATTATATTTATCTGTAAAATGGACTACAACAATTAACAGCACGACGGAGTGCATAAATGTTGGGGAAATGTCCATAGTCAAAATCCTAATTTCAAAAGCGAAATCTTCCAAATCCATATGGACATAAGGGGGCTTCTTCTAACATATTGTAGTGTCGTAGGGTATAACATAGTCGGCCCCGCACGACTATAGCCTTTTCTTACTTGTTAAAATTGACCTTGGGAGGGAAATACTAGTTACAGTTGACTAAAAATTTCCAAGTTCACATCTGACCCAAGTCTAACATAAATGCTACCAAGGACCATGTTTAAACTATATCGAGTACACAATAATAATATGTAACATCTCGAAATATTGGTCTCCGACATGGGAAACTAGCGAGCTGAGTCGATCTGGCTATGAAGGTCCGCCCGTCCGTCTGTCCATGTTAATTTATAATCACACTACAGGTCGCAATTATGGCCCGATCCTTACGAAATTGAAAATGGCGGTGGGGTTAGAGAATAGAAGCCTATTGTTTTTGGACTCGATCGCAAAATATTAAGAGGTTGAAATGGACCAAAAACAGAAAAATTTTCTAATTTTACTATTGCTCTACAGGCCACAATTATAAACCAATCGAGGAAGAATTTTGCATGGTCATCATATTCAGCGGGTAAAATAAAACATAACTTTTATCTTAAAAATACGAAAATTTCCACGAAACCGCGAATGATTGTAATCCCGGCCAAATCACAAATACATTAAAAGCTCCCTTCTGACCAGTACTGGGTGAAATAAAAAAAATACTACAACAAAGTCAAACGCCATAATTTTTACATTTTTTTTTACTTTTATTGATGAATGCAAAAAATGTCGGAAATAGCATCAAATTTTAGAATAAGTTTAGATTTGTTCGAATTGGTCACCTTTGGAAGGAATTATGGCCTTCAAATGGCCAATGAAACCGACACGCGCTGCTCGAATGTTGCTCTGCGGTATAATGGCCCATTCCCGACAAAGCGCATGCTTGAGGTGATCGACAATTTGGTATTTTTTAGTGCCAACCTTGCTTTCCAAAATACTCCAGACGCAATAGTCCAACGGATTGGTATCCGAAGTCTTTAGTGTCCCTGGAAATGAAGCGAGGTACCTCATTTTGTAACCATTCTTCGGTGGCGCGTTCTGAGTGAAATGGTGCTGAATCCTGTTGGAATGTCCAAGGTCTACGGCCAAAATGTTTGCGTACCCAAGGCTTAATACACCCTCCAAAATACTTTCGCGATAACATTCTGCATTTATTCCAAAACCAAATATAAAGAAGTCACTCTATCACGCTGGAATTCCATCACGAATAATTTTTTTTCTGGAAAATTCTCACCAATAAGCTTTTGGACGCTTGTAAATAATTTAATGAGCTATCACTGGAATAACCCCTTTTGGAGGAGTGGCTAAGAAATGACAGCGGTCTGAAATTGGTTGCAGTTTTTCTCATGTCACCCTCATATAGCAAAATAGGTACAATATATATATATGTATATATATATATATATATATATATATATATATATATATATATATATATATATATATATATATATATATATTTTTTTTTTTTTTTTTTTTTTTTTTGCCAGAAAAAGGTTAAAATTCAAGAAAATCGCATAAAAATATGGCAATAAAAAAGTAAATGTTTTTTGTTACATATTTTAAATTTTTGTTCTATTTTTATCGATTGTAATTTTTTTGATTTGTACATTTTCCACAGGTTTTTCACTTCCCCCAACAATATGTGTTGAGGGTATTATATACAGGTCGGAACTATTATCCGATACTCACGAAACGAATGCATTTAACTCCCATGCACCCAATTGGTGTATGAATATTTACATTTAGGGGTTCAAATAGGCCAAAAAAATTAATTTTTTCCTGATTTTGCAGTCGCTCTACAAGTCACAATTGGAAACCAATCGACACGAAATTTTGCATGAGAAGAGAGTTATGGACAGGGAAAATGTCTTGAATTTTGAGTGACCACTGGATTATATTTACCTGTAAAATGGACCACAAAAATCTAAAGGTAACATCGTTTCAAAAGCGAAATATTCCAAATTCGATTCGATGGTCGGCCCCGCACGACCGTTGCTTTTGCTTACTTGTTATACATGCCGCAGCTTTGGTAGGCAAGGTATTGGAATGAGTGGATCAATATTATTTAAATAAAACAATTACTACTTTAGATTTATATGAGATTTTGATGCTTTAAGTTGTAACCAATTTTTAAGCTTAGTATGGAGGTACTAGAAAAAGTGAACCGATTTTCACAATTTCACTGTAATATCCTTCAATACTATAATATATTGGAGAGCCGATTTAATTCAAACCCTTTTTGGTCGATTTTGTTTTTGAAATATGTGAAGTTTGAAGAAAATCGGAATAAAATTTCACTTTTAAGGAAAGTTATTAAAAATTGAACTTCTAGGGAAATATGTCCAAGTTTTAAGTATATCGAGCCCTTCATGCAGTCCTTGGTGTTGGTGGCAATGGCATTATATTTACGCCCTATGTATGGCTACCTGTTAAATGTTATCCAATGGCCAACCAAAATGCTAGTCTTTTGCCCTGTCCAAAATTTTAACCTCAAGCCAAATTCTGTTTGGATTGGTCTTTAATTGCAACCGGTAGAGTGGCTCAAAATCTGAAATATTTTCTGTTTTGGTCCATTTTCAATCCCTTAATATTTTGCGAACATCTTAAAAAACAATAGGCTTCTATTCTGGCCCTAAACCAACCTCTATGCTAACTCGAAGTATTCCATTTTCTTACTTCATCTCATGCAGATAAAAAATAGGCATGAGCAAAACTACATTCCATATTAATCTCAGGTTTTTTGGTTGAGAGAAATATTTATATAAAACCAGTTGTAAAGAATCGCTAACTTGTTTCGCAAGTTATGACAGACAAAATTATTGAAAATTGTGACGCGGTGAGGTACCAGAAGCGGTCTCAGAAATATACCATCTTCACAACAGATCTTGTATTAGGAAAGATATTTGTATGTGTGAAATTTGAAAAGAAGAAATGGTCCGATCTCTACCATCTTTATAACAGATCATGTGAAAATATTGAGATATGCCAAGTCTGAATGGAATCGGATGTTAGTTTCCAGTTTATGAGCGTCATGGATACTCAAAATGTTGACCCTTTGTGGGGGAGATACCAGAAGGAGCGGACCTATATATCCCAATTTCACAGCAGACCTCGGATTAATAAAAATATTGTGATGTATCCAATTTGAAGAGAACCGGATGCTTATTTCGAATTTTATGATCGTTTTGGCTATTCAAAACATTGACCCTTTGTGGGGTTGGTACCAAAAGAAATGGTCCGATCTCTACCATCTTTATAACAGATCTTGTGTTTATGGAAATATTGAGATGTACTAAGTCTGAATGGAATCGGATGTTAATTTCGTGTTTTATGAGCTTCCTGAATATTCAAAAATTTTACTCTTTGTGGGGGAGGTATCAGAAGGAATCGGATGTTTATTTCGTATTTTATGAGCTTCCTGAATATTCAAAACTCTTTTACTCTTTGTGTGGGAGGTATCAGAAGGAGTGGACCGATATATTCCAACTTCACAACAGACCTTGGGTTAATAAAGATATTGTGATGTGTGCAATTTGAAGACAATCGGACACCTTCATCACATTTTATAAGAGTTATAATTATTCCAACATTTTGACGGAGTGAACCGATATTGTAAATTTTCGCACCTGTAAACATTAGGATTCGCAAAGATAGAGCAAAATCGGATTATCCTTTCTCTTTCTGAGTAGTAAATTATTTTCTTTAAAATGTTGACATTTTGTGTGGGAGGTACAAGAAGAAGTGAACCGATATTGCCCATCTCCGAACTCAATCTAAGTTTGACAATAAGATTACGATGTACCAAGTTTGGATCGAATCGGATACTCGCAAATCCGATAAGGCAAATTTTGTCCGTATCAAATTATACATACCCTCTCTAGCCAATGGCTGAGGGTATAAATGTTCTGTTTGGATATAAATGTTCGGTTTTCTTATAATGTTTTTATCTGCATTAGATGAAGTATGAAAATGGAATACTTCGGTCGATATATGTGGTATCGCACGCACATTTCAACATTTTCTAAAAATTTTCACATATCTCATATAAAGTGAAGGATATAGTCCAAACCTGGAACGTCGCAATATTTATATCATATTTATTTGGGTCCGATACGAAATGGTCAATATTGGTCTATTCCTTCGAATAGGGGGTCAACAATTTGAATAATCAGGACAGAAGTTAAAATTTATTTAAATCGTTTATCATTGTTGGCTGAGGGTATACATCTGTCGGCAAAACCGACTTATACTTTTTAACTTGTTTATATCATATCACATCAATCTTGAATGGTTTAAATTATGAATGCGATCTATCTATGTGAATCGACTCGAACTGATATTGTCGTATACTGTTCTAATCAAATTATTGTTCTATTTCTGAACGTCATTCTATTACCTGTGATATTTTCATAAGGACTGAAGTATGTCATTGCAATTACAACATACAACACGTGGAGAAAATGTAGCATTAATCTAATTTATTTTCATTGAAAAAATTACATATCATACCTCAAATATTCAACTTATTTTATATAATTATTTAATTTAACATTTTATCCCGATATTGTTTATTATTATCACAATTTTTATTGTATCCAGATAAATACATAAGCTGATTTAATTGCCTTGCCAACCAAACCAACGAGCTAATACAGATCTCACGCTGTGACCATCAATCAATTAGCAACTTACAGACATTTGGTATATATTTAATTAAAAAATTAATGACATTGCCTTAGGGTTATATGCCTTCGAATAGCGAATTTTAAAAGCAGCACAACAATCACATACACACATACCGCACTAAAAGTTGTAAATGGCGTTTTCGTTTTGTGCCAAAGGGAATTTTTACGAATGTAATTAGTTTTTTGCTGTTCCAGTAACTTTTACGAAATAATTAAAAATTCATCAATTAATTAGCACTTTGTAAGGACACTTTTCACTCGGATATCAAAAATCATACCCAAACGCCACGTTTCAACTTTTTTTGCTGCTGCTGCACACACACACACACACAGAAGAATACTGCGTATTATGAGTGGCAAAATAAAATGCTTTGCGTATGTGTGTGCGTGCATGTATATTTTTTTTTTGCTATTTCCACAAAAAAATGAAAACAAAAATTCTCACAAATACGGTCACAGACAACTATAAGAAAATTGTGCAAGGATGCTCAATAAACATATATACGTGTGTGTGTTTGTATTTAGCCTCCATTTCTTCTTGTTAGCTCCCCTCAATGTATGTGTACATGGACAACAACTTTTACTTTTACCAGAAACCTAACGGACAGACCTACAAAAGACGTTTCCTACGAAACTGTATACTTCTTCAGTTCGATATACATTATTTTTGTTACGCGAGAATTTCTCGTGTTGTTTTTTTAGTTCACGTTATTATGGATTTTACGTTATCCTTATTGCGTTTTGGTTTTCTTTGCGTATTTTTCGTTAAGGATTTAGTTTGAGTTTCTTTTCAATTCTAAGAGTACTCATTATGTTATAGAACTACATTTTCATTGAAACGCTGTTGTTGTTCTTTTTTGTTCTGTGTATATTCTCGTAGTATGGCTCCGGTTGCATTTCTGAGTGTGTTGGTGTGCGTATTATCCTCTTTTTTAGATTTTCTTTATTGCTTTGCACTGAAATTACATACAAACTTTTTTTCGGCGAAGGGAAGATTTAATGCACCTTTTTTTCCACCAATTCGAATGATTTCACTGGGGTTGTTAAATTGCATTTAACGAGGGTCTTGGCACTCGGTTGTTTCTCTGAATTTCATTGTGCGTTTAGAAATTATTTCATGACATTTGTGGTAACTTTTCAAATTTATTTAATTTTTTCATTTATTTGTTTTTTGGTCTATTTTGATAGTTGCCATTATCCGTTTTGTTGGTTGTTATTCCTTTCGACTTACTTGCAATACTAAAAATTGTTGTCCTGTCTACACACTTGTTCGCTTCGTTTTAATCGGCATTGCTAAGCTTTTCGTCGGCTCTGCAACAACAAAAGTCAAAGCTTTTTCATTGACTACCACAGAGGTTCGGAGTGGGTTTTGTTATTGTTCAACATGTTTGTTTTTGTTTTGATACCGCAAAGGGTTGTTTCGTTGGTTGGTGTAGGAAAATATTGAGACTTCATCCACTTTTATGTTACAGACTGTGTTATTTTTGTTGTAAGTGTAACAGGGACTGTTGCTTCACTTCGTTTTCTCCTTAGTTGCTTTGAATTATGTATTTTATGTGGATATCGGAAAAACGGGTGCCTCATGGAATACAATATTTTTCCATAAAAATACTAAAATGCATCGCCATTTCAATTATACGAACTTATATATTGATCAAGGAGGCAAAAGGATTTCCACTTAGTTTGTCTGTAAATTTTACAGTCATAAACTTTTTATGCCCTTCACTAAGAGAAAAACGCGCATGGCTTCAAAAATAATTTTGAGTTATGGCAACGTGTCCGGTATACTTGAACCAGTACAATTTTTGAAATGACAGTCCGTTTATTTGATAAAATGTTGATAGTACCTTTAAAATACCATTCAAGAACCTGAAGATACATTTTAATCGTTTGTCAAAATATGCGCCAACACATAGTAGAGAAGAAATATAACCTTTTCAGGTCAGCAGGTATACCTTTACACGACAAAAAATTATAATTTAAATTCGCCTTAGAAATTTGTAACAGAAATTAAAATTTAAATAGAAAACCCCTTACTTTTTTAAGAGAATTGTCATATTCCTTATATACAAACCAAATATGAGGTGTTGTCTGGTTTGTAAAATGAATGATAATGGGCGAGAAGGAGAGAATTGTGATCTGTTGAATCAATTTCAACCCAATCTACAAAATTCGTTCTCGTAAGTTTAAGACGGTGAGATGAACAATTTGACTTAAAAGCAAGTTAAAAAACAGTAGGTCCACCCTGGCCGAACTTTGAATACCATCCACCATTTGGAACAAATATGGAAATTAAAAAAAAAAAAATCCGTTAAAAATTCTGTTAAAATCTTAAAAATACTGAATATAGCAGTTATATTGGGGTTTATACGATGTGGACCTACATAGGCATTGTTTGTCATTAGCCATTACCATATTCACATTCGAAACTTGAAATAAACGGTGAACGATGTAGCTAAAATCATCAAAATATCGTATATAGGGAGGTAACGTTATATCGGAGCTATAGGAAGATCTGGATCTGCATAGATAATTTCCAGCCACAGGACTGTAGAATTCATTACGAATTTCAAATACGACATCTCAAACAATTTCGGTGGGTATTGTACCTAAAATCGTCAAAATACCGAATATAGGGAGGTACTGATATGTTGGGACTATACGAAGACCTGGACCTGTATAGACAATTTTTTGTCACAGACGTAGTTCCCAATTCGGACTCTAAATACGTAATTTGAAATTACTGAATAATGAAGCTAAAATCATCAAAATACCGAATATTGACAGATGCGTTATATGTGGGCTATACGAAGACGTGGACCTGCACAGACAATTTTCTGTCATAGACTGTAGTATCCATTAAGAACCTCAAATATCAAATTTCTGGTGAATAATGTCGCTAAAATCATCAAATCAGACAGTCATACGGACTGGCATAGCTAAATAGACATAGAATTTTATGCTGATCAAGAATATATATACTTTGTTGGGTCTGACGGGAGTATTTCGAGGAGTTACAAACGGAATGAGGGTGAAGGGTGTGAAAACAAAAAAAAATGTTTAAGTTCGGCCGTAATTTTAAAGAAATTTGAAAAATTAAAAAAAATCATCGAAAAATACCATTTAAATGAAAACCCTTATATGGGGGGGAGGATGGTTTATACGAAGACGTCGAATTTTTGTCATAGACTGTAGTGCCTATTCGGACTTTCAAATACGAAATTTAAAACAATTCCGTTGAATAATGTCGTTAAAATCATCAAAATACCAAATAAGGCGTTATCGTTATGTATGGGATATACAAAGACATGAACCTGCATACGCAATTTTTTGCCCTAGGCTGTAGTACGCGTTACGAACTTTAAATATGAAATTTGAAACAATTCCGGTCAATAATGTTTCTAATCATATAAAAATACCGAATATTGGAAGGTACAGTTATATAGGGGCTATACAAAACAGTGGACCTGGATAAGTAATTTTTTGCCATCATGTTGTAGTACCAATTAAAATCTTCCAATACAAACAATTCCGGTCTATAATGTCGCTAAAATCATAAAAATACCGAATTGTGAGAGGTACCGTTATTTGGAGGCTCTATGAAAACGTGGACCTACATTGCTCATTTACGAACTTAACCTGCCTATTTTACCCTGATAAAGAATATACACATATACTTTGTTGGGACGGACATGTGTATTTCGAGGAGTTACAAACGGAATGACAAAGTTATTATACCCTCCATAGTATGGTAGAGAGTATAAAAATAATACTGAATTCCAAAATAATAATAATCTTTAGATTTTTTAAATCCGCTATATCCAAATCTGAACCGTTTTCAATATATTTTGGCAAATAAATTTTGAGACCAAATTCCATCAGACGTTCTAAATTTCATTGAAATTGAGGATACACAGCGTGTCTGATGCATCAAACACATGAAATCGGCCGAAAATATACATGGGAGCTATATCCAAATCTGAACCGATTTCAATATAATTTGGCAATTGATCTGTAATAAATCAATAGATGCACATAGTGGAATTTCAAAAATGTATATAGCCTATGTTATCTTCAGGCGATGTTGTTGTATACTTGGAAATTATCAGGAAAATCTGTTCAGCGGTTTCGCAAGCAAACGTACAAACATTTTCCTCTCTTATAGATACAGAAGAAGAAGAAATAATCATTCAAAAATCTGACCCTATGTGGGGAGGTACCAAAAGGCGCGGATCGCTACATCTCATATTCACACCAGATCACGTGCAGGTAAAAATATTGGATTGTGCGAAATCCTGAAAATCGGTTTAGATATCGCTATAGCTCCAATATGTATGTGTCTTCCAATTCCCAAATACAACCTTGCCATTTTTTTCGAAATCAGTTCATAATATATTTTCCTCTAATTTGATATAAATTATACTCCAACCGTGATATCTCTTTATAAATTTTAATTTTGTATCATACGATTATGTATCGATTTTGTTTTGAGCAAAGTCTACCAAGTTTGGACCAGATAGATTTAAACATAGCTCCCATATATATGTTTCAAAAAAAAAAAAAAAATTATATATATATATATATATATATATATATATATATATATATATATATATATATATATATATATATATATATATATATATATATATATAATTTTTTTTTTTTTTTTTGAAACATATATATGGGAGCTATGTTTAAATCTATCTGGTCCAAACTTGGTAGACTTTGCTCAAAACAAAATCGATACATAATCGTATGATACAAAATTAAAATTTATAAAGAGATATCACGGTTGGAGTATAATTTATATCAAATTAGAGGAAAATATATTATGAACTGATTTCGAAAAAAATGGCAAGGTTGTATTTGTATATATATATATATATATATATATATATATATATATATATATATATATATATATATATATATATATATATATATATATATATATATATATATATAAGCTTTTTCGATATCATTATTTGCACTCAATAGGAATGCATTTTTATAAATTGTTCAAGAGGTCGCATACAAGTGAAAAAATAATATTCAACAAATTCAGTGGACATCTCTCCGCATTCAAATTTAAATCTCATAATTAAATGCTCATAAAAACAATCACATTTCATGTGATTAACTTCTAATTTGTTTACATGGATTGTCCCATATCTAAATAATACATGTCTGGGTTACCCTGTTTTCTCAGTATCGCCTGCGCCAACAGAGAGCAAATACTACCGGCATTTTACTCAAAAGCTTTAACCATATTCTCAGCTCTCTCCTCTCGCAATGAGTAAGTTTTTCCTCCCAATAATGCGCACAACAAAAAATGCAAAAAATAAACAGAAAAAAAGTAAACAAAAAATACAATACAGCCGAGGGGCATGTTCATGACAAACGGACGGTGGGTACACATTCGAAGAAAAAAATAAAAACGAAATAAAAGAAATCGACAACAGCTGTAATGCAACCGGAAACCAAATAGGAGAGCTATGTTGTCCTTCCGCTATTAAGGACAATGTGAGAGTGATGCATACAAGAAAACCAGCTGTAGAACTACTACTACGACGAGGAATACAACACAAAAACAACGTACTATCAACGGGAAGGTAAGTGTTTTACGAAAATAAACCGAAATCCGCTGCAAGCGATGGTGGTGGCGTTGGTTGGTGGCAAAATACGTTCATTAAAGGATATTTGCACAATAAACGAAAGGAAAAGCTTCTTAAATACTTAACATACATTCATGTGTAAGGATGTCAGAATGTATATGTGATGTATGTACGTATGTGTATTGTCCAAGTGCTTCGAGTGTATTTGTGGGCTAAGGATGTGCTGTGTTGTAAAGCATTTTTATGCCGGTTGAAATTAAAGTGCTATTTTTGCAAGTCCTTAAAAGTTGTACGTACATATTTATAAAATGAAGAATAATGATATTGTATATTCGATGCATTTTTTATTTGATTTTTAATTGATCTTTGTTTGGATTTCGGATTGTTGTTACAATTTTCAGAAGCCTTTTTAATTCTCAATTATTTCAATATTTATTTTACAAAAAAAAAAAAATGTTTGTATGTTTTATTTTTGTTATAATAACAAAAGAAATTTAAACAATAACAAGAGAACAAGTTGTAACAAGAGTTGTTAAGAGTTACAGAATATGTTACAGGTACCCTATTCTCTAACTTTTTACCAACATAAATCATTGTTTATTTTTCAACATATTCTTTTGTTTGTTTTGTTTTTATTACCTCCACCATCCTTGGAGGGTATATTAACTTTGTCATTCCGTTTGTAACTTTTTGAAATACTCATGTCA